AGATTGACACAGGATAAAGCAGGATGTAGGGTTGTTGTGCATAGGGTCGCTATGAGTCACAGGTGACTTGACAGGATGTTAACAACAATAGTTTACTAAATATTTTTGTCTTCAAAGTATTCAAAATAAATGATTTTTGCTCACTTTTGTTATTAGTTTCATTGAGTGGCATCAATGCTAGACAATTAATATGTTAGGATAGAAAATGTTTTAGAAATTAGATAATATTTTAATATGCATGTTTTGCATTTTGTATTCTTACTGTTTTATAGTAAATGTTATATTTCTGGTTTTACAATAAATGTGTTTTGAAATTTGAAAAAATATATTTTGTAAATGATTTGTAAATTTCCATAGATGTTTCATGGAACAATAACAAAAGAACTAACCATCCATGAAGAATGGAATCACTATAATGAATGGATGATAAAAGACCAAAAAGACTTTGTCTTTGTGAAGTTCAATGGCCTTCATTTGAAATCCATGGAACATTTACAGTCTTATATCTCTCTCAGAGTATGCATCTTCTCAAATAATTTTATTACAGATATACAACCACTTAAAAGTTGTTTAAAATTAATCAAACTTGATCTCCATGGAAATCAGGTCAGTCTCAATTATTTCAGATATTTACAAAGAAATAAAATGTTATATAATAGACACTTATGTTAAATTAAATATTCCTCACAGGAAATCTTATACCTAAAATGTAAAGCATAATTAAATAAATTTTTAAGTGTATGTGTATGTATACAAACTAAAATTTTAGTATATTTTACTCTTTTAGAAGCATTATGTACATTGTTTACATTTAATCACTTATATCTTATTGTAAAAAATAAAAAATAAGGAAATTTAGTCATTGCAAAGATTTTAATGAATAAAAAACTATGTATATTTGTGCCTTTAATATCCTAGTTTATTTGAAATTATTAGTATGTCAAATTTTATCCTATTTTTAATTTCAATAATTAGAAATTGTCTATTTACTTACTAATTGAAATTTACTATTGTATAAAATAGGACTTTTGGAAAACATTTAATAAATGTTAATTTTTCATGGAATTTATAAGAAAGTTATATTTAAATTTAAACTATATTATTAATGTACTTACATATGTATAAATTTAAACCATGTTTATTCCAGATAAAGAATCTGCCAGAAGCCAAATTTTGGATTGGACTGAAGAATCTAAAACTCCTATATCTCCATGACAATGGGTTTGCAAAGTTAAAGAATATATGCGTATTATCTGCTTGTTCTAACCTCATTGCCCTCACTATGTTTGATTGTCCTGTAAGCCTTAAGAAAGGATATAGGCATGTTCTTGTTAATAGTATATGGTCTCTTAAAGCTCTGGATCATCATGTGATTTCTGATGAAGAAATTATTCAGAACTGGCATCTACCTGAAAGATTCAAAACTTGTAATCATCGACTTTTCTTTAATTTCTGCCCTGCTTTGATAAAGGTAAAACTTTGTGGGGGTTTAATTTTAAATACATTTATAGATATATGATCTTAGTCTAAGTTTTTTGTATAAATCATGTAAAAGTATTAATGATATTTCTTTATATAAAATAACATTTAATCTAAGGGTATTAAATTGTCAGGAACTTACATGCATAATACATAGTATTGCATATTATTTCATATATATATATATATATATGTATATATTTGGAAAGAGGTATGGAGTCCACTTCCTAAACATCCTAAACAACATGCCTCTGGAAACTATAGACTTTGATAAATGATGTAGTGGCAAGAAGCTATGCTGCAATCCTGAAGAAACATTGTTTGAATCCACCAGCTGCTTTGCAGAAAAGAGTTCGACAATCTCTTCTCACACAATTAAAATGCCTTTGAAAACCCCTGGAGGGTCAGCTATGGGTCAGTTCCAACTCAATGCTAAACAACAGTGTATGTGCACACACACACAGTTTTTAGTAGAAAAGAAGTATAACTTATGCAAGTCATTGGTATTTGGATTATTTCATATGGAAATATTTTAACTTTTAAAGTACACTAAGGGACGAATTGAACTTTAAACGAGTATTGTTGTATACCATAGGGTTGAAACGGACTCACAGCTGACACTCCAGCAGGTTTTTATAAAGAGTTAATTGTGCCAAGGGAAATCTCCCATCCTTCTCCACAGAGCAGCTGGTGGATTCATACTGCTTGTCTTAGTGATTATATCACAGCTTCTTGCCTCTAGGTCACCAGTACAAATAAAAATATTCAGTTCCTAAAGAATCTGGTGGTGTATTGGAGTTCTTAAACCATAATTATACATTGACTTTTCAAATCTTGGAAAAAAGAAAATGTCTGGACAATAGATTGGAAGAGATCCATATTTGTTCCCATTCCCAAGAAGGATGATGAAACAGAATGTGGAAACTATTAGACAAGATCATTAATATTGCATGCAAGCAAAATGCTGATGAAGATCATTCAACTTTGGAAAGAACAGTACATAAATAGGGAACTATCAGAAGTTCAAGCAGAATTTAGAAAAGGTCATGGCACCTGGGATATCACTGCTGCTACATGAATCTTGTCTTAAAGTAAAGAATGTCTGTTTATCCTTTTTTGACAATGCAAAGATATATGATTGCATGAATCACAACAAGTTATGGCTAGCCTTGAGAAAAAATGGAAATCCAAGAGAACTTAAATATATTTTTGTGAAACCTATACATGGACCAGGAGGCTGTGGTGCAAACAAAACAAGTCAAAACTACACGGTTTAAAACTAAAGAGAGCGTGTCGGGATTGTAGTCTCACTCCATACTTATTCAGTCTGTATGGTGAGCAAATTAATCAAGAAGCTGTACTCTATGAAGAAGAATGGTTTATCAGGATTGGAGGGACACTGATGAATAACCTGTTTTATGCAAATGATACAACTTTCCTTGCTGAACGTGAGGAGGACTTGAAGCAGCTGTTGTAAGAAGAACAAAGAAGGATTTAATCTTCAATAAGGATTGCATCTTAATGTCAAGGAAACAATGATTCTTACCACTAGGCCAATAGACAACATCATGATAGATGGAGAAAAAAATTGAAACTGTCAACAACTTTATCTTACTTGAGTCCACAGTTGATACCCTTTGTACTAGTAGTCAGGAAATCAGGAAATATATTGTACTTGGAAAGTCTGAAGTTAGGGACCTCTATATTATTGGTGCAGGATAGAGCAGGGTTTAGGGCTGTTGTGCATAGGGTCGCTATGAGTCGCAAATGACTCGACGGCGCATAACAACAACAACAACAATATTATTACATGTATTATTAAATTATGCAGATTATTGAGAGTAATGATGTCAATTTTAGGACTAAGGTGCATCTGATTCAGGCCATGGTCTTTTTGATGACTTGCTTTGCATCTCTGAGCTGGACGTAAATGGGGATAACAGAAAAATAATTGATGCCTTTGAGCTGTGGTGTAGGAGAAGAGAATTGAACTTCCATGACCTGCCAAAAGAACAAACAAATATGTGTTGGAGAGGGTGCAGCCAGAGTGCTCTTTGGGAACAAAAAAGATGATGCTTTATTTTCCTCTCATAGTTTCGGCATGTTACTAGGAGGGACTGTTCATTGGAGAGGGATATGTTGCTTGGAAAGGTGGAGGGCCAGCTAAGGAAAGGAAGACCCTAGACCAGGTGGATTGGAATGGTGACTGCAGCAATGGGCTTTAATGTATCAGGAAGTAAGATGATGGCACAGGAGAGAATAGGGTTCAGATCTGTTGTTCATATAGGGTTGCAGTGGGTTATACTCAACTTGACAGCATGTAAAAACCACCACCACCAGAAGGTTATGGAATAGTTAAATGAATAAATAGATACATAAGAAATATTATTCTATGACAAAGTTGTATCTTAAAGTGAGAGTGAAATATGTGTGTGTGTGTGTGTGTGTGTGTTATTGTGTACCATCAAGTTGGAGCCAACCCATAATTGAGCTTGTATTAAATTTTCAGAGGCAGTTAATTGTACAGGGGGAGATTGCCCAACTTTCTCCTGTGGAGCAGCTCAGCTGGTGGAATTGAACTGTGTACCTTTGGGTTAGCAGCACAATTCCTTACTAAGTCACCAAAGTTCATCTATTTGTATGCCTAGCTATGTAATTTATAAACACATATAAGGACAAATAGAAAATATTTTTTGACCAGTGATCACATCTGTAACAGTATATAGTGAATAGCAGATTATACACGAGAAAATTGAAGAGTGGGAAGTTGGAAGACATCTGTATTATTAAAACTTAAGCTAATTATTTTACCTACATATGTGCGTACAGAGTCATTCTACCAAAAAGAATTGGCTGAAACAGAAGAATTTCAAGAAACAATATTTGATCAAGAGGCAATGGTGGTGAAGGAGGAAGTTCAGGCTTCTCTGAAGGACTTAGCAAAAAAATAAAACCCCAGTAGTTTATGGAATACAAGTTGACATATTTGAGCAAACATACGCTGCCCTGGATGTGCTCAACAAGTTGTACCAAGAAATCTGGAGGACTTGGCTAACTGACTGGAAGAGGTCCATATTTATCTCCATTCCAAAAAAAAGATGACCTGACAGTGTGGAAATTATTAAACTATATCACTAATATCAAACACTAGCAAAATCCTGGTGAAGATTATCAGACATGACTGGAAAAGTATATTGACAGAGAACTGCCAGGAATACAAACTGGGTTTAGAAGAGGTCTTGGCACTAGAGACATTATTGCCAATGTCAGATGGACCTTGGCAGAAAGCAAAGAGTACCAGAAGAATGTCTGTATTTCATTTACTGTGCAAAGGCATTTGAGTGTGTGGATCACAAGAAATTGTAGCTTACCTTGAGGAAAATGGAAATCCCAGAACACTTGATCATGCTTATGTGAAACCTATACTTAACAAGGAAGTAATCCTCAGAACAGAGCAAGAAAACACTGCATAGTTCAAAATCAGAAAAGGAGTGTGTCAGGGATGCATCCTGTCCCCATACCTTTTTAATCTGTATGCAGAACAAATCATTCAGGAAGCAGGGCTTTATGAGGAGGAGTGTGGGGTCAAGATTGGAGGAAGACTGATCGACAACCTATTATATGCAGATGACCCAACCTTGCTTGCTGAAACTGAAGAAAACCTGAAGAGTTTGCTGCAGAAAGTCATGGACTGTACTTCAATATGGATTGAAGCTCAACAAGACAAAGATTCTTACTGCTGGCCCAATTGACAGTGCAGTGATAGATGGAGAAGAGACTGAGGATGTTAGCAATTACAGCTTGTTCGGCTCCACAATCAACACCAGCAGTCAGGGAAATCAAACGTCTAATTGTATTGGGAAAACTTTAAGGGACCTCTCCAGAGTGCTGAAAAGAGATGATGTCAGTCTAGAGACAAAGGTGCACCTAATCCAGGCCATGGTCTTCTCAATTACTTGTCATGTTTCAGAGAGTTGGATAATGACTAAGGATGACAGAAGAAAATAAAATGCCTTCGAGTTGTGGTACTGGAGAAGAGTCTTGAACATACCATGGACTGCCAAGAAAACAAATAGGTCTGTTTTGGAGAGGGTGAAACCAAGTCTCTCCTCGGAGGCTAGGATTTTGAAGCTTCATCTCACATACTTTGGACAAGTGACCAGGAAAGATTATTCATTGTTGAAGGAAATCATGTTTGGAAGGGTGGAGTTACAGTGCAGGAGAGGAAGATCCCGGATGAGATGGATTGATACAGTAACTGGGGCAATGGGAGTTGGTGTGTCGGAATTAGCTCAGGACAGGGAAAAGTTCAGTGCTGCTGTATAGAGGGTCACTATACATTGCAGGTGACTCAACAGCACACACAAACAACAACAATGTTCTTAATAAACAGAATTTTACATTTTTTGTGTTTTTCAACAGCTAGTACTTTACTTTCCCCTTGTTTATTAAATAAATCTTTATTTCTCATAAAAACGTTTTAAAATATTTTTATTTAAGTTTATGAAGGTGTTAGTGATTTAATTTATGAAAATGTTAATTATTTTATACAGTAGGTGATAATAACAAAAGAAAAATATACTTAGGGAAAGAAGGAAAAGAAGAAAAGGAGGTAATAATAATGTCTGAATGCTTTATTCTAGGTTTTAAAATAAGTATTTTAGGTTTTGGAAGCAGGAGTGGCATCTACTTGCTAAACAGCATGCCTCTGGAAACCATATTAACATTAATAAATGATGATAGTTATAGAAACATTCCAGGCCTTTGTTCTTAGGGTCGCTATGAGTTGTGCTCGATGGTAATAAACAACAACATGCGTACGATAATGTAATTAAATGTTGGAATATACATAATCCTTTTTAAAGACCATAAAAATAACTGACACTCATTTAAGGAAATAGTAGACTAAGAAAGTAGTAGATATTCAGAAGAAACTAAGATTTCTAAGGAATTTAAACTTCTTTCTGGATATAATCAAGATCTCCTGTATTT